GTGATGTATAGAATTATAGATTCAATGTAGGTAATTAAGCTTTTCCACTTGTAAATCAATCAATTTCTAATCTTTTTCGCTTTTGTAGACGACATATCTGGTGTTACTTTAAAAACGAAAATAAGGCTGAATATACGGAGGGAACGTATATTGTTCGAATAGTATCAAGCTTTCTTGATCCATTATTTTGCTATGAAAATGCAAAACTTAAACTTATCTGGTATTTTTTTTTTTAAAAAATTATTTAATAAAGGATATGGGTTTTGTTTATATAAAATAAAAAATGAATTATATATTATAACAGGGCTGAAGAAGTCTCGGAAGCATCCCAACGTTTCCGGGGAAACAAGAATTGGGCATAAGCCTGATTTTCGGATAAAGTTACCATTAATGGTTGATGAAGTGGAGATATGTCTTATGGAGGCTTCACGAGTTCTCCCTACTGATAAAAAAATTCGTGGAGACTGGGATAAGTTGATAAAGCTTATGAAGGATGCCCATATGAGATTATTGAGGAAGCTTACTAGAGGAAGAGCAGGGGAATTGAATGACTTAGAAGAAGAGCTTAATAAAGTTCCAGTGTTTGGTATTCAAGTTGCTGGTACGTAATTTCATATTCGATCTTTTTTTTTTTTTTTTACTTAGAAATAACCTCATTAGTTTTAGGTGGAACTTTGGCATTTTGGGTTATGACTATGCCATTTGGTGCTTTCTATTTTGTTCAACGTCTTGCCTCAGTACAAATTCCGATGAATTGGGGACAGTCTTCAGTTACCGAATTTACGAACAAATTGTGGAAGCTGAGAGTAAGATTTTGATGAAATATAGTAAAATTAATATATAAAGTATATGTTCAGGTTAATTACTAGAATTTTTAAATATGTAGGCAACTCTACGGAATCATATTCATGACCTTAATGAAATCATAAAAAAAGTCGATTCATCTTTATATAACATAGCTATTTGTTCTCCACAGGTTCGAGAAAATGTGCCCCTTTATGATGGAGAGTTAATAACTCCACGATCACCATAACTAACATTGACATTAGAACCAGTGTTGGAAATCATATATTTATAATATTCACAGTGAACATAGATTCTTAAAAAAACTTAATATTTTATGTTCACATAATGTGAACACAAATTCTGAAGAAATTTTTATTTTAATTAGAAAGTTTTTTAATCAATCGATAATCGTAGCTACATAGTAAAGTAAAAAGATTTATAAATCGATATTAGTATCTTAAGTAAAGCTGTTCGAAAGAATAAAATACATATACTATGGAATTTTTGTGTAATTTGAATAAGTTTTTACCAACTTTTGCATTTTATGCTTCTATGAACAAAATTAATTTTTGCTTATACAAACGTAAAATGCAAATATCAATTAGTAAAAAAGTTATTTAAATTATACCAAAATTTCATAATATATGTAATTGATTCTTCCAAATAACTTTACTTAAAATGCCAATATTGATTTACTTATAAGGATTTAATCATTTTGCGCAGGTGCGTTGTAGCGCACCTACCTGATCGCGTAACGTAAAAATCAAAACAAACCCTTTGCACGTTAGTTTAGGGTTTAGGTCAGGGCTACATTATGGTTATTAAAGAGCAATAGCGAAATGTTCCTAACCAAAAATTTTGCGAGGAATTTTTTTTTACTAGAACGCGAAAGAAGATTTCATAAACAAAAAATTTAGTTACAAGCGATTTCTTTAAAATATCGCGATTGTTTTGATTTTCACATTACACCTTATCTTGAATT